GCATGTCTGCTTACCCTTCCGGAGCACCTGAGATCACCCCCAGTTTTTGGTAGGGTTCGTGTTGCTTAGTCTTTAGTTTTCTATGTTGTGTCATCTGTACTATTATTTGTCTGTTTGTCTTTTTATTTTTGGCCATGGCGTTGTCAGTTTGTTTTCGATCTATGAGTTTGACTGACCCTCTGGTATCTTTCGCCCCTCTTCTACAACATGTTCTTTATGAACTGTTGTATTTAATATATCAACGTACGAACAAGCATGATTATCTTGCATTGCTACAAATTAGATAGAAAACTTCCAGTAATTGAGAATCAACAACAATGCCGGACGCTCTTTTTCTTCGAAAGGTTTTTGAAGAAAATTCAATAATATAAATATGCAACATGTGGTCATGTGTGTTCTTATTTGAAGCTCGGGTCTACCGTAGGGTATCCCCTTAATTTACAAGGTTATGTTTAAAAATTGCCTCAGTTCATCCTGTCAATTTTAAGCTAATATAATATTTAAGTAAAACCTTAGGTCGCAGGTTGGATTTGACAATATTGGAGCCAATGCAGATAGTGATGCTCTAACCGAATAAGTTAACAATCCTAACAAGGATTATAGTTGACCAGCTGATGATACAACAAAAATTGCTTTTCCAAAAAGTTTAATTCGTATACTAAATGGTCATTAAAGAGGAGACGTTTGTAGATATTTAGTTTGTACAGTCTATAACAGATATTTTGGTAACCAGGTTGGGGGATTATGTTGTAAGCTTTATCCCATATTTAGACTATGTTAAAAATAATTTATTTAATATGATTATATTGCAAGATCTCTTGTAATCCTTATTAAATATATCTGCCAAATTAGTGAATACTGTCGGAAAGGACAACAACACACAAGACTAATGGTGTATCTTACATGTTCTCCCTTTTAAAGTAACATACCACAGGAGTCACTTGATTTTTGAGAAATTTTTATCGGGTGGACGTGGTCGATAGGCTCAAACACTTGTTTTTATGCAGGTTGTCGTTAATTTTAATGAGTAATTGATGGAAATACGGTCTTTATAAGATTCATTATTTTGATTTGCACCAATACTGTACATTTGATATCAAATATTATACCAATATGTACTTTTACCTTCACGTGCCGACTATATTTCTATACAGGTGGTGGTAATTTGGATGAGTAATTGCAGGAAGCATGGTCTTTATAATTATATAAGATTCACTATGTTGATTTGTACCAGTACTTTACATTGATCACAAATATTATACAAACATGCACTTTTACCTTCAACAACATTTAAGTGAACGTGCCGATTATATTTTCAACTGGAATAATCATGTTCCTGTAACAGTTTTTTTATCAATGATTATTTCCTTGTTATTATTATTATTATTGTTATTTTTATTATTATTATTATTATTATTATTATTATTATTATTATTATTTTTATTATTATTATTATTTTTATTATTATTTTAAATAACCAAGACACAATATATTTCATTTTATAGGCCAAAGTTATTGCTATACAGCAAGCATGCATCATTGGTAATGTAGGGACGAAGAACGGAATTATAAAAAATGAGCTGAAATCAACAGTAATGGTATCTCTCTTACTCGGATGTTTTACATTGTCGTGGACGCCAATGATTATATTTTTCTTCTACACGATAACTTGTAGCAACCCACCTTGTACCACCAGCAGATATGTCAGGTATACATAAATGTTGAAGAAAACTTAATGGAATATATGTTATCGATACTCAACTAGGTGTAAAAAGGCATTTTTAGAACAAATACTTTAATTTCAACATAGCTATGAAGTTACAGTGACATAACAACTGAACTTCCTGGACTGAAGTCATCCTTTATATTAATCATTTGAAGTAACATATATTTGAAATTATTAAACAATTGTGTTATTTATGCATTTTCCGATGTACAAAATTGCTATTATCAAACCACCTCCTTCTAGTATATATTTTCCCGTATGAAACTGTGTATTATTCAAATCAGGAGAATATTGACAATCGTTGTGGTTTATAATTTGATATTGAAATATAAAATAGGAGATGTGGTAGGATTACCAATGAGACAACTATCCACTAGAGACAAAATGACATTGAGGTATGAAACTAAAGGTCACTCTCTTAAAAAAATCTCCAAAACTAATACTGTAAAGTAAGCTATAATAGGCTGTACATAATCAAAATCATGTGAGATCCAAAATCAGTACTAAACATACATGAAGTGGTGGAAAAGTAAACCAATAAACGTTGAAGATAGATAAATAGAGAAGTAACACATATCAAAAATGTAGTTACTTCAAAGTACTTTTGCCTTTTTGTTTTTTATAGGGCCACCGTTCGAATTCTGTTGTATCTCAACTCATCCGTTAACGTCTTTATCTATGCTGGCAGACTGACAGAATTCCGTAAGCGTATAAAGGCTGATATGAGTAGATGTTTTAACACATGTTTTCCTATCTGGAAAGTAAAACCTCTCAAGAAAACAAGCACCGAAATGAATCTAGTCTCGTCTTCTTTATCCAGGATAACATTGAATGGCGCAATTGACGCAACACTGGAGACTGAACATGTGTCATGAATTGTATATCTTTTTATCTGCAACGTGCGTTTTGTTTCTTGTGTTCAACCATGAAACCATATTACATTTATCTTATTTCAATTATAACAAGTTGTTGATATATTTGTTTTTAACTGAAGTTAAAAGTTAATGTCATGTGTAGAAAAACCTAGCATCTTCTATGTTAAATTTTTCACAAAAAAAGATATGAGGTTATATGTATCAAACCGACGAATATTTATTATTTACTTGATGAGAGACAGTTGCCATGCTATTGTCAGTTTGTGATCGACTCCTGAATTTAAATATTCTTTTGTTATCTTCCGCCTTTCTTTTATTATCGAAATGAGCATACAATTGATAATGCTAATGTCATAACTACTAGTGTTCGATACCTCTGCTGATGGAGTGTTAGTAACGGAGGTTATAACAGCCAAGTATCAAGTACTTCGGTACTAGCATAAAAATACGGATATATATATATTGTGTTATCAAACTTTCCTGTTACACAATTGCGGAAATTATTTTAAGTTAAGGAATATAACTCCCTCATGCAAAATCTGATAACTTGTCCATCTTTCGTTAAACTGTGTGTTCTTTATGTTTATATGCTCGTTATTCGTTTTAATAACATTTGGATTTTCAAATGCGTTGACTTACTTTGCCAGTTGACAAGTTTATTTATTTATATATGAATGAGATCATAAAATATAATCGCATATAGACTTAACAAAACATAAAATATTAGATATTTGGATAGTACATGATATAATATATGTAAGGATTGGGATCTTTATAAGTATACAATAATAACATTAAGGGTACCAATTCGTTTGCACCTGATGCGCATTCGACAATAAATGTCTCTTCAGTGATGGTCGTTGCCAAAATATTTGAAAATCCAAAGCTTATCTAAATCTTATGGACTCATTTCATGTCTTTGTAACTAAATCCGGCAATAAAAGTGCACGTTTAAAGACTTTTATATTTTAGAATTTCTAAGGTAATTTTCATTTGAAAATAATGTTCAAAAGAACAACCTTTTCTTTTCCTTTCCTATTGCATATTTTCTTTTCTTTGATGTCCATGCCCATTGGCTACTTCTCATGGAAGATACACTTTTGTTGATTTGCAAACTGTTTAGTTTCAAAGACGTCTCGAGTTTCAATGAACAGCATTGTAGTTGCAATACAATTTCTTTTACTTTTTCATGATTTAAGCGTCACTAATGAGTCTTCTGTAGACGAAACGCGCATCTGGCGTACACACTTTTAATCCTGGTATATATGATGAGTTTATTTACTTTGATATATATATATATATATGTAATTACATTGTCAAAACAACTGTTTAACTATGATACAAAATAGTGATTTATTATCGAATTATGATTCTACCTGCATGAATTGAATAAAAAGTGTTACTTCACACCCATCATAAATTTTCTAAACGACAATAAAATCTTTTGTTTGTGGTATTATAGACTGTTTTTTGCATTTATTTCTGTTTGGTTTGTCTTTGATAAAATGTTTTAGCCAGTTTATAACTAGAAGACACACTAAACTAGATTGATTGATTGTCTGCCTTTGTCTTTTGCTAGCGGTTTGTTATGGGCAATTAATATGACCATGTTGCTCTTTACTTATATGATGTTGCGGTATCAAATATTCACCTGGTCAATTCTAACTTCCAGGGTTTGGTGGTTACAGAAAAGCTCTCATTAAATTGATTTACAACTTTTAAGAATTGGGGCGATTTAAAGATTGACACATTACTTACTTTATCTATCTATTATCTATCTATTATTGAAGACAGTATGTTCATATCGTATACTTACATATACAACTGTTATTTGTTTAAGGGGAACATTATTAAATATATAGGAGATATTGTTCTATCCGTCGTATGTATATATAAGTACTTTTGCATGTTTATATAAATATGTACTCATGGAAATATATAAACAGGTACACATGTTTTGAATTATTTTCATTAAGACGAATATTTTCAAATAGCAAGCCAGGCAACTGTGTCCAACCTCTATGGAGTATGGTCATTAAGACTCTATGTGTCCCTCAAATTTGAACATAGTTAACATTGATATTGTTTTAATTATGCCAAAAAATTGTCCAATTGATATTGTTTGTAAAATAAATGATAAAATAACCAATCATGGTGTGTTTATATAACAAAATATCACTAACATTTTTGGACCATAAAAGATTTTGAGTAACTTCAATCAGTTATGATTGGATATGTCCGTCCAATTTCTGACGTAAAAATAGCTTTTCAGAAAAAGACTGAAAATATTACCCTATATAACTGGTGACTACTAATCCTTTTTCAATCCTTTAACTGGTGCGTACCTGTATTAGAAAAGTAGCTGCAAGGTATGGCGAACATAAGACTGTGAACTGATACCAGTTGAAAAAGTTTTATTGATATTGGCAAACCGTGACCTAAAAAATCATTAGTTCATTGTATTGTGAAATTGCATAGTATTCTATAATAAACAGTACGTGCAGTTGTCACCCTTCTTGTGAATAATGGTATATAGAATTGTTTAAATAGCAATTTTGATCTTTGTTTTGTTGATAACAAGATTTTACGTATCATAACTGCTTCTTGTCCATTTGGACGCTGATATACACTATTGTAAGAAAAATTGTGACATGGAAAAAGTACTGTTCTTCATTTTTATTTTATGTAATACATATAAGGCATTACTGCATTAACATTAATGGTACAAAACAATCCATCTTTTTAGACATCCTTAGCCTAAGTTCGAATCAATGTATGCATCATTGTGTGATTTTATTTTTTGACAACCAGAATAATCATTTAACAATAAAATATAAATAAAAACCAGTAAAAGATATTCCTGCTTTACACTGTAAAACAATGATTAATAAACATAAAGGAATAACTGTTTATCTGAATATACATGTATCATATATGAAATGAAATATTACTTCTTGCACATTTAAATAAAGCACGAAAACCAGCAAATGTTATTCAAAATTCCTGACGAACTTGTCATAGTTGTTTTGTTTTTGATAATTCGGAGAATTTTAACTGTTTAATAAGAAATTCAGATTTTCGGTTTTCTGGCATATTTTGTTGATTTTTTCTATTAATTATCGACAATTGATTAGACAGGAGATAAATTGTGATTACACTTAACAAAACCATCTCATGAAATAACAGGACACAACCATTATCTTTAAAGGCCATTATTTTCTACTATGGACTTCAGTATTATTCTGCATGTTTTATTACCAATTATTCTTTTAAACGATACTGTAAATCATAAGTTTTTGTGATGATATATTTCAGTTAACCTACGATAGTAAAGGTATCGAAATACTAAGAAATCAGGTAAAAATGTAGTTTATTGTTGCAAAGCATTTGTTAGTCTCGTATTGTTGGCTACTTGAATAACAAATTCCCGATTTAAAGTATTTAAAATTTAAATATCACTGTTTTCACACATGTATCTTTCTGAATAAAATTTGTAAACATCACCACAACGCTGTAAACTATAATGAATATATTTTTTACAGAAAGTAGTGCTGTCTTAAAATATGCACAAAAAATCGAAACATACCTATTTATTTGAAAGGAAATAAACCCCAAATTATAGAAAAAAAATCTATTGCATTAACATATGCTTAATGGTTATTTAACTAGTAAAGGTTTATAATCCGATTAGTCTCAGCGTCTTTTTCCCTTCCTATACTGTGGATTAATTTATTTTCGTTGGTACTAATTTTCATGGATTGAAGTCTGCATAAACTCTTATAGAAAATTTCTAATTCGTTGTTCACGGATTACCATGAAATCCACGAAAATTGGATTACAACGAATAATAATGAATCAACAGTACTATTCAAGTTAAAAAAATATATATATAAACACAACCTCTCACAAGCATAAATGTGAAATTTTATTTTTTGTACACATCTGTTCCTTTCGCTCATTTAAAGATGTCTTGAAGTCTGAAAAAAAACAAACCAAAAAACTATTAGTACCAAGACTGAATTTAAAAACTATTCTTTCCATCTATCAATGGTTTATCTGTCTATCAAGTTTATTTAATTTGTAAATGAAATGTGACAGTGTATTAACTATTTTATGAAAAATGCTACACCTGGAATAAAAATAACATTTGATATTACATTAAATTTAGCTATTTTATGTAGAACTGTAATTTTGTTTTGATTTCATTAATGTTTTTATTATTTTTATTTTGCTCCCTAACACATTTCCAGAAACACACTTGAAGTCAATCAAAAGTTCATTTGACTAATAAGATGCAATTAATCGGCGATCACCCGGTTGTTTGGGGAGTTGGTGTTGCTCAGTCTCAGTAGTTTTATGTAGTGTTATGTCAACTTGTTTTTTTCGTCGTTTTTCGTTTTTATCATGTATTTGTCGGCCTCTCGTCAAGCTATGTGTTTCAATTATTTTTGAGTATCACCCGTATACATTTTTACACTCCCTGGAGTTACCATGTAGTTATGTATGTTTTATCAATTCTAAATATAAATCTGTCTCATAACAACATATGAATTCTCTTTGTATCAATTTTACATGGCAAATTGTACCATCAGTATCTCTTATCTTTTGTTTTATTGTGAAATACGGGCCCGAAATTTATAGAAAACAATGTTTCATCTCCGTTGCATTCTGTCATAATAACAAGCCAGACATTTTAAATGTTTAATAGACATAATTTCCAGTTCTCACAATTTAAGACAGCAGAGACCTTATTACTTTCACACTTACATATTGTAAATTCAAAAAAAAGTTTCCATCTTCGGATTGGTCTTGATTAATTTGTCGTCTGTAGAATCAACCGGACTCATAAGATTACCTTGTTTGAAATAAAGTAAAGAATTTATTTTTATATCCAAGTTGCCTTTGCGGAAACACATTCCTCAATTTATATAGCTTACTTGATAATATTTTCAATAGTTATATTGGACAAAAATTGTTCCATCTGAACATAATGAATAGGACAAGGCAAAGCACTCTTAAAGATACTAAAAATCCCTGAAAGATAAAACAAGCGGTATTTCTCGATAACTCCTGTATCTGTTGTAATCCCCGGATGTTATACATTTATAACAGATAGTTTTTAATGTCTGTGCTGTTTCAACCAGAAACAGTCTGATTGATCCATTTTTCTGTTAATATTGATTTTGTTTCAGAGATTAAGTGGCTTTGGACGCATGAAATTTATCAAGTGTTATTTCATTAAGTTATATGAATCCTATTCAACGTATATTAAATTAAATAATCATAATAGTGTACCTAGTGGAGGAGAAACTTCAGGCCTTCCGAAATACCTTATTACACCCTTTCAGTGCTTTTAATTTGCTAAATAATAAGTTTTTATGGAGTGTTGTGGACTGTTCTCTTCATCATCGTGGGGTATAGTGTTCTACTTCAAGAGGAACGATTATTTTTTGGTTTTAACTTGAAATGCAGACTCATATATTTTGAGTACCGCAATCATGACATTTTCCCGTAAGTCACCATAAAAAAACAAGGGCTGATCTCAAGTGCTCCAGAAGGGTAAACAGATCCTGTTCCACATGAGGTACCCGTCTTGTTACTCATGTAAGTACAAGCCCGGTGATAAGTCTAATTCGGTAGGTCACATTTGAGGAAAAGAGGAAGGGATTGTGGCTACGAAAATTGGTAAGTATAAAAGTGATTACACATGTAGTCGTGCATACTTGTGGTTTAAAACACAATAAAACATAATAATCTAGTTTAATAGCACTAAAAAAAGTATCAACATACCTTTTAAATCCAATCTGTTCTGTATACCAGAAGACTACGAACAGAATTATATAAAGTTTACAAGTGTACAACGAACGAAATTAGAAGGTGTCGGATCTTTTTTTCCTAATACATTGTAACTCGTACACTTTTTATAAAAAGTTTCAGATTATTTTTTTGGAAATCATCAACTTTTTAATTTCACACAACTATTACCAAACTCCAGTTGGATAAAATACACACTACTGGGGAAATATTTTTGTACCAAGTGTTCATTGGTAGGGAAATATAGAAGTTTCAGAATAGATACGGTTAAATAGATAGGTTTAATATCAATTTGTGTTTATAAATAATGTAATTACATTAATATTTAAGTTGCTACAGGTTCTGAAAAAGTAATTCATCATCATCATCATCATCATCATCATCATCATCATCATCATCATCATCATCATTTTGAAATATTAGACGCATTTATAACTTCGAACTGTATTTGGCCTTTTTAATTTTTTTGATTCGTGCCTCACTGATGAGTCTTATTTAGACGAAAAACGTGTCTGGCGTACACAATTTTAATCCTGATATCTGATGAGTTTATTTATATTTGAAATGTGATTCACATGATACGATGTATGACTTGTATCTAAATCATAAAGACATGTAAAATTGTCAAGTTTGATCAAACCTGTGTTTTGCTGCTGGCTTTTGGCATCGAGTTTGATCTGTATTTATGCACCGCTCTCCTGATTCCTTCGTGTAACTAAAATGCATTAGAAACACTGTACAAATAAAAATGGGATATAACCGAGAAGATCAACGATTTTAATTTCATGTCGTCTTTTCAGTTTTAAAGAAAGGGTGTATTCATTTATGTTTTAATAATGCAACATTGTATGGCTTTTCTATAGACGATCATATTTAGAAATATGATTCTTAATACATGTAGTAGGAAAGGAGAAGGCAGATAATTACAATGTGTATCTATATATATATATATATGCAAGTTTCCTTTACCTTTGTTTTTCTTGGTTTGATCAGCTGTTCAACGTTATGTCACATTAGCCTATTATGTCTGTTTGGGTTGCTCACCCAATTATATCAATATAACGGAACTATAAACAAATGTCGTATAAGTGGGAGGTTTAGCTAGTTATAAAAACCAGGTTTAACCCACCATATTCTTCTGAAAATGCCTGTACCAAGTTAGGAATATGGCAGTTGTTTTTCACTTCTTTTCCGTTGATTGATAGCGTTTGATTTGTCAGTTTTTATTGACTTTTTGAATTTGCCTTGCAGTTCGGTATTTTTGTTATACTTAATGTCTCGAGTTATACTGAAGAGACATAAGTTGTCGAAATCGCATATGGTGCAGGAAAAATTTGTACCGTTAATGTTATTTTCATTATCTTCAAACATGTATCACATTTTTATAACCTCGTATTTTTCTTAAGGTCAAGATAGATGCAGTCGGTCTTATAATCTAATATCTCGAAACATTTCCCAAGACATTATTCTTCAAGACGTACCTTTTTATTTGAAACTGCATCTCTTATAAATATAAAAAAGCCCTGTAAAAACATTACAAAAAATAAATATTCGTTGGAATAATTAATTTCTTATAACTTAAAGTAGAACTTTAAACATTGGATTGAAACGATAAGCAAATTTTCAAAGAAAAAACAACAATTTTGATTTTATCTTTCTTAAATGGAATAATTAAATAACCAAATTGCATTGTGGGCTGGAGTTGACAGCATATTCAGAGACGTTTAACATTAATCAATTTCGAAGATAAATAGTAGTTGAATTCCCTCACATTCACCCAAGATTTTATTTTGTAATTGTGTACCAGACCTAGATATACTGCAGCTAATTTGTTTTGTATACGTTACTTTTGAAAGGGTATTGACAGACAAATTCATTCGATTCAATTTTTTTTATTTGATTTATTACATAAAATATTAACAAGAATGGGCATGTGAGACGATAAAAACATATATATGTAAATAGACAGATAAGCACGTATAAAAGTATAATGACAATTTTTCTCTGTATGTTTGATTTCATGTTTGGTTTTAGGTCATAGATTTAAAAAATATAAAATAAAAATGATGTTTTGCGGATCGATTCATTCAACAAAATGGTACTTCCAGCTATAAACTTTTTAATTTTGACCTTCTCTTTGTTTTTAATTTCTGAACATGCTGAGCACATGAGCAGCCCATCTCGAAGTAATGGTCAAAATAATGGATGTATGCATACGGACCCAATTGATGAGGAATTATATTGTCTTGGATAATCTTAGATAAATCTTAGATCACAATCTCTGCAATTTTGCAGCAACATTAAGACTTTTGATTTTTTTTACGCTTTACACTACTATTCCCTATGCTCAATTTAAGATCGACTTCACCATCTCATTAAACAGAGCTTTTTTGTTTTGGGTTAAGAAAATACACTGAAAATGATATTATCAAAGTGCTGGACTTTTGATCGACAAAATATTTGTTGATTTTGGAGGATAGATATTTCAACAGACAGTCGGTATTCCATTAGGTACTAATTGTGCACCCCTACTTGCCGATTTGTTTTTGTACTCTTATGAAGAAGAATTCATTCAGAACCTTCTAAAAGACAAAAAGAACAAGCACCTTGCTAAATTCTCTAATTTTACTTTCAGATATATTTGTGATGTCCTATCACTGAATAACCCATATTTCAGTCAGTACTTGCATCTCATATATCCCAGTGAACTTAAAATTAAGGATGCTACTGATACTAGAATGACTGCTTCATACCTTGATCTTTTCCTAAATATTGACAGAGATGGACGACTTTACACCAAAATCTATGACACACGGGATGATTTCAACGTCCCTATTATCAATTTCCCATTTCTCAGCAGTAACATACCCTCTGCCCCATCGTATGGTGTTTACATTTCTTAATTGATACGTTATGCTCGTGCATGTTCACACTATACTGACTTCATATACAGGAGTTTGCTCCTTACGCAAAAACTGCTCCAACAGAGTTATGAGGAGGAAAGATTAAAAATGACACTTCGTAAATTTTATGGACACAATCACGAATTGTTTGATCTATACGATGTGTCTGTGTCTAAACTAACTAACGACATTTTTATCACGTCTTTGATTGTAGTTTACCATCTACGTCGTCTGGTCTGCTAAGTACCGAACGTGACCTATTCCCGAATATGACTGTTTTGCCGAGTGTGAATTCGCATTTCTATACGACGTGTCTCGGTATTTATACATCCAACATTCATGTATTTAGTCTTTTGTAAGTCTGGTTGGATATTGTGTTATGTCTTATCGTTTGTGGTATAAATTCTGTATTTTCGGTACATTGCACATATGTCTTATTTGTCAGTATAGTCGAGTTACTCGTGGTTCGTCTACAGTGTTTTTGTTTTATGTTGTTTGTTTTCAAGTGTGTTGACTGTTTGGTCTTACATCATCTTGCCTTATATTACAGTTATTTTATTTTTATTTTCTATATGTATGTAAAAAGTTAAGATAATAAATCAACTATTTCATTTATATGATTTTAAGTTTAAAGCTACTATATGCACAGGATTTTTTTGTTTAAAGACAGTTTCGATTTATAAGAAAAACCGACATGGTTAAAAAATAAAAATAAAAACACCATTACAAACACAATTCCATTTTAATATTCTTGTCATGGTTAGAAAATACATAAAATAACATCATTATAAACTCAATCCCAATTTATAATCTTGTACGTGACTACAATAAAACAAATCTATTCTATTTTTAGAAATTTACCTGTTATAATATAAAAGTCACAAAAATACGTCACTTTTTGTGGTGTTGATACATTCGTGTGGCACGCAGTTTATACTTCGTTTGTGGTGTACTGGTGTACTGTCGAAAATTCATGGGAGGTGTCCGTTGTTATTCTGTGGTTTCCATTTGTAATGTACTATTATATTATTTATATATGTATTTCTCTGTCCTGAGTGTTCTGGCGTTTATTTGTACTGTATTCCTGTCACGTAATGTTGTCATTTTAGCGGTATTTTTAACATTGTCATATAAGCGGGAGGTTTGGCTAGCCATAAAACTAGGTTTAACCCACTATTTGTTTCTTAAAATGTCCTGTACCAAGTCAGGAATATGGCAGTTGTTATGAAATAGTCCGTTTCTATGTATGTTGGCGTTTGTTTTTCTTGCAGTTCAGTATTTCTGTTGTTCCGTTGTTTTCCTTTTATAGTTGATGTGTTTCCCTCAGTTTTAGTTTGTAACACGGATTTGTTTTTGCATAGTCGATTTATGACTATTGAACAGCGGTATTCTACTGTTGCCTTTATAAATCAGCGATGTCTTTTTTCATATTTTTACTTTTTGGTCGTTTTTTGTTTTTTGTTTTTTTTGGTATTTTTTTTGCCATGGCGTTGACAGTTTGTCTCCGAAATATGAGTTTGAATATCCCTTTGCTATCTTCTGCCTCCCTTTTAAATTGAACCAAACTGGCTGGTGATAGCGAATTATTATTTCAATATTCCGCGTTTATTAATGGTTAAAACAAAAAAAGATAATACTTTATGTTTTGTTTAAATCGTCAGTTATCTCCCTTTAAGAATGATTTAACATTTAGTTATGTATATATAAATATTTACCTGAAGAGAAGTAGTTATACCAAATAAATACTGAAAGATTATGGTATCTTCATTATATGCCAGAATTCCAAATAACCACGATAGTCCTAATACTGGTAATAGTATAACCATACATTTAACACCCGCTCTACGAAAAATAAATAATATCTTAATTGACACTACATAAGTTTCACGGTTATCATCACGAATTGGTTGACCGATATGATGTGACGGTGTCAAAACTCACTAGGCACATGTTTACGAGGTCTTTATCTCTAGATACCAGTATAGTCGACTGATCTGTAATTCTACTGATTGCGTGTAATTGCCGATTGTGAATTCGTATGGCGGGTGATGCATACATAGCAAAAGACACTTATCATGCCGACACACTCCTTTTAGAGTTTACGCGATTTCCTCAGTTTTTTTACGCCCGAAAAAGACGGGAGGTATTATGGTATACCAATGTCCGTCCATCCTCATGTGAAACAACATTAGGATTGACGGAAAAACATTTTCTTTTGTTATAATTTTTTTTTTTGCCATAGCGTTCCAGAGTTTCGGGACTTTAACCATTTGAATAAGGCAAATTTTCACATATTACGCACTTATTCTAGTATGCGTGAATTGATTTCCTAAAAACTTTAAATCATTGCTTGGATTGATAAAGTGACGCTCTCTTTCGATTTTTATCATTTTCTGGTTTGTCTCTTCAGAGTTATAGAACTTTCATTGTCAGATTTAAGTAAATTTTTCACATGTTGTGCCATAACTTTAGTTTGCTTAGATTGATTTACTGAGAACTTTACATAATTGTTATTCGCAATGTCATTCCAGAGTTATGGGACTTTGACTGTCAGCTAAATGTTAGGCATTTTTTAAATGTCATACACTAGCTCTAGTATGCTTAGGTAATTGTTTTACAAACTCAACACTGTTGTTGGTATTGATAAATGTAGAATCGATTATGTTTTGAAAATGGTTTGGATTGTCATTTTAGAGTTATTGGACTTTTAACCGTCATATGTGATACAATGTTTATACAGCTAAGGGCGTCCTCATGTACATTTTTCATCAGAGCTATTTTATTTCATTCTGATTAAATGTCTTCTTAATATCTCATTTTATTTTTGCAACAATTGCAATATGGATAATAAGGGCGTATCATGCAACCTTGGTGCAGCTGTTTATTGTTTATTACCTTGATTTGTCTCTTCCTAATCAATTTACGAAACTTGAACATTGGTAAACTAGCGTCGCCTAAAATTTATTCAATGTTTGAGGAATTTTGTGTTGCTTCATGCTTGTTTTGCATTACTTTAATATTATATAATCAAATGCAAAAAATTTAAAAAATCATCAAAATGTAAAAGGGCAGTACAAAAGATACATATGCATATAAATAAAGGAACATGTCGGTCAGACGTCAATTAGACTAATTAGCTTAAAGCAGACCTGGCCTGAACAACATACAAACCTGACTTTTTTCTTTAATCTTTCATTCATCATAGCATTTGTAGAATAAATAGCTCTCAATACAACAATTATTATTCCTATATTAATCTACAATAAGGGAATAAATATAAAAAAAATTATGACAGATGATAATTTGTTAATTAAGTCATTCTTTCTATAAAAACAATTAAGCTCTCTATAAGTTTTAACCAACAGCTATAACTATATTTAAATTATAAAGTGTGTATATCTCATGAATTTGAACATTGTATAATGCAAACTAAGCAGCAAAGACAGTAAATAATTAACAATTCCGAAAATTATTGCTTTGCTACAAAAGACTTTGTTCAAAAAATAAAAAAATAAATACACGATTTTTTTACTTCAGAGAGAGGTCCCAAGCGGGCATTCAAAAATCAGAAGCCCACTACAAACAGTAAATAGAGGCGGAAAATATCCAAGGGGATATTCAAAACTCATAAGTTGAGGAGAAACTGATAAATCCAAGGCATAATGTCACTTTGAGATAACGAGGACGGGATTGTGGTTACGATATGTGGAAAATATCCATGAACTTCAAAAAGTTTTTGGTTTCATCTAAGTCAAATTTACTATCAACTACAACTTTTTTGTTGGCGTCTTTGTTAGATTTTTTTGTATGTTTGTTTGAACTTTTTAGTCAGTTGTATTGTATGTCTGTTTTGGCTGGTGGATCCCAATTATGTCTGTTTGGGTTGCTCACCCAGTTTTGTCATTATAATGGAAGTATAAACAGCTGTCATACATGTGGGAGGTTTAGCTAGCTATGAAACAAGAATTAACCTACCATTTTCTACAGAAAATGACTGTACCAAGTCAGGAATATGACAGCTGTTTTCCACTCGTTCCGTTGATTGATAACATTTGATTTTGTAATTTTTTTATGGATTTCCCCCTTTTGAATTTACCTTGGAATTCGGTATTTTTGATTTGCTTTTATACGTGCAATCAATGCAAAAATGCTGTAAACACATTTTGTTGCATATTAAATGAAATTTAAAGCATTACGTCTCATTTGTAATAGTAAAGTATATTGGGAATGTCATTGATTTTCTTGTAGGCTCTTTAAAAACCAGCAGATTACATGGACAATAGTCAGTTGTTATATTTTAATCAATTATAACTGATCATTGGTTTCATTTTAGTACCAATTAAACAACATGACTTTCATGTTTCTTTCATCTATAAATATGATGCAGAGTGCGTAAATAAGCTTACCAGTATAATAAGTAAAGCAGGTCCAACAAAGGCCATAAATACAAAATTATTCGTATTAAGCCAGCAACTGAAAACGTAAAATACAATCAAACAATGACACTTTACAAGACTCTTTGAAAAAAATCAATTGAATCGTGTTCACTTGAAAAGTAGTTGTATTTTTGTGGGTCATTTGTTCATACACATTTGTCGTAGCTGTACAAGAAGTAATAGGAAATGTAGTATACGTCAGCAACAAAACATCAAACGAAACAAATACACGACATAATTAGTTACACCTGTCATATTTTTGTCTTTACTCGTTTGTATAGTGCCCCCTAGATTTCCGTTTCGGATTGCACATTTATCTGATTTGATTTTGTTATATTCTATCTGTTACAATATTTAATTGTAAATTGTGATTGTATATAAAATTGATATTATTTTCCCAGTACTTGATTGATCGTGATCAAAATTTTATAACACTTGTTACATCTGATAGAAAAGCGTAAATGCTGATACTAGTATTCTTTTTAATTACATTTATTTAAACTGTACCGATCTCACTGCATCAGATGAGTATTTTTAGAAACAATGTCTCTCAATTGATTCTCGAGGCCAAAATATTAGTGAATCAAAAATCTATTGCAAACACGGCAGAGCTGATAAATAAAAAAAGACCGAAGTATAGCCTTCCCGATCAAGGAATCAATGCAATACATGGGGTGTCCTATTCTTTAATTCTAAAGGATTCCCGAAGGATTACAAATTACTGCAAATTACATGAGAAAAATATCAGATTTATTTTCCATGTCAGTAACTAATTAGTGAGACACTGTCTAACATTTTTTCAGATTAAAGGTAAATTTCGTATCATACGTCATGGTGTAAATCTCCAGAAATCAGCCAGGTTGTATATGTATGTAACGAAGGCATAACAAAATCATCTGTTAAGAAAGTCCTTGATGAATAAACACTTTTGACATAAACAAAGACAACCGCTGATGTCTTTCTCATTTGGTCAATCAATTGAAGTATCAATAAATTTAACGGTACCGATTTTATTGCACCAGATTTCGACAATAAGTTCTATACAGTATTGCCCGAGGCCATCATATTTGAAAAACCAAAACATTTACGTTAAAGAGCCTATTAAACGAAAAAAGACTTAAAGTGTAGTCAAATGCAGAAAGGAACCAGAAATTTGCATGAAGGAGATATATCTAACAGCAAAAGTCTGTAAACTAACATATTCGTATGTTCATGCCAGTACCGCAGTGAGGTGGTTACATGTACAGTTGTTTTCTTTTTGGCAATATTTTATTTCTCAAAGAAGGGAATAATATGGGTTATGACAGTTCGCACAATAAAAGGTAGTAACCAGAATTGGAATCACAGATACACTCGAGTAATAAAATGCATCTGAAAGTACCAGATATTTTTTTAAAACATGACATCGTACGCTGTTATGTCAAGGACTACTGTTCTTAATAAAATGTATTCAATGACGCCATTAAGAGAGCAGAAAAGGTAAATCTTGTGCAAAATCCAAAGTAAAATTTTGACAAAGAAAAATGTAAGGCTTTTAATCAATCTTAAATTGACCATTCAATTCCAATCAAGTCAAGCACACATTGACCTCAAAATTTAAGTTGCAAATTGTATCTTTGATTTCGTTCGAACAACATTTAATTAAAATATATACATTTAAAATATTGATTTAGTAAAAAAAAGTATAAACGTGATGCATTTACGTCCATAACATAATATTGAATAACATATTTGTAATGTTTAAGGTTAAAGTTTGTGAAACTGTATGTCTTAGCGAAAACAACGTTCAAATACCTTTCAGTCTTTCTTATCTATTCGAAGTAATACATACTATTTTTCGGAATGATACCCTTTCAGTCTTGTTACTCCAAGGGTTATTCCTACAATCACTAATGAAACCACTGAAAAAAACAAAAAAATGAAATGAAAAACATATTTGTAAGAATGCAAAACGACGATGAAGACATGGGTTTTTTTACTGCCTAGACAAATAAATAAGAAAAACATATCAAATTCTTTAACTTGTTAAAAAGTCACATTCTTATGACTCAATCACGCAAATATTTTACAAAATCAAAAATTATATTCGTGGCTTAATTCGCACTGCATTATTTACCAATATTTAGAAATTGTTTTTTAAGATCGAATAAGCGGCTTTCCTAAAATGGAAATATCAGCTTTTAATTTATGACACAATTTGATTGTGATGTCATTAAAGATGCGTCATCATGGAGGTTTTTCAGATTAAAAGCCAAATTGGAAAACTTCGTGAAAACATTTGGCCAAATAACCATCTATATGCGTCGACCACAAAATATAATTTTGTTGGAGAAAAGTGAAAGTAATGAATAATTCATTTGTGAATATTGTGCTCTGTTTTGTTTATAAGGATGTGAATTTTGATATTGAATAAATTCCTTACTTTTCATACTTGAAAACACATGGATAGAAATAGTGTTGATCAAAACTTTATTGTTTCAAAATTGGGAATGTATTGAACGCATCGATTCAATCGAACTTAAAATAAACCACATATACAGTTAATGCAGCCTCATATCTTGACTTACCTCTAATAATTGGCAATGATGGTCGCTGGATAACAAAGCTTCACTACAAAAGAGGGGTTTTGGCTTTCCAATCGTAAAGTATCTTGTTACATTTATCACTTTATAATGAAAGAAATCTGTAGAGGTCAGCTATTTCATTTACACAAAAATCGAGAAGAAATATCAAAACAAGTCTATTCTTACCCCAAGCAAATGATAAATATAAACGCAGTTCAGATTTTCTCTTGAAAACAACGGTGACAGATCTAGCCACTGATATTCCTTCACATAACATGAGAAAGAATACAACCAAAAACACGTAATGTAGAACAGCTGTTACTATAATACAAGCAATCTAAAAAAAGATATAACAGTGCTTGTAGCTAATTATACATTTGTGAGGTTATACATTTCAAGGTTTAAAATACATTGTCTTTACTGTTCTAAAAGAGATAATTTTAGTTTTAGTAAGTATCATTTTGATTTTACATGATTTTTGTTTGTATACGTCTTTTACTGTTTCGCTGAATGCTTGTCTCTTGCAGGACATTAAACTCCGTTGAACCATTTCTTCGTTTAAACAGTCAGGTCGGTATACTCTCGATTTTACATGAATGTTATTGAACCAGTTACGAAGTATGACCTACATATCATCGTAATAAACATCATAATTGGTGCAATACTCACCTCATTTTCTGTGACGTTTGTAGAACTTAAGAAAACGGAATACCCAATGATCAATACAACGCACATATTCGCTAAAATAACAGTCCATTCATTTTTAACATATCTACAAGAGTACATATATTTTTCAGCTACCACAATTATAAAGTTTTTATATATATCAAAGCATAAATTGCGAAGGAAGATTAAGTAGTAAGCACGTATGAAGATGCTAAAAGTAGTAATATTAAAAAAAAATGTCTGCATCGTTATATCGACTACTATATCATGTACATGTGATTGAAAATAGGTCCGAAACAACGATTCCCTGGCATCTAATTACAACGTTATTTTACCACCTTTCAATATCATATATAAACGTATTCTCTTTCTGCATGGAAATTGGTAATATCGACACAGTTGATTTTAATGTTAAGCTTGTATCTAGTTGTATTTATGCAACTCCTTTAATATTAAAACTTCTATGATTTACAGTAATATTCATTTATATTGTCTCAGCACAGGAATTAACTAATTTCTATTGGGTTATTGTTGCTCAATCTTATAATCAGTGTAGTCATTTGTTGTGTGTTAGTTTTGTCGTATGTTTAGCCATGATATTGTCTGACTTATGATTGTAAATTTTCCCTTTTAATCTACTATAATTTTCACCTTTAACCTGTAAACAATTTCTAGAGAATAAAGTTAAAGACGTTAAGTGTAAATATATATTTAACGTTGTAGGAAAATAACGAAATAAAAAGCAATCGATGATAAAACAATAGAAATGTATGATAGAGATAAAATTGCATGACATATTTGCCTGATATAACATGTTCGCGGTACTGTTGTTTATAGAGTTCGTAAATTAAGATACGATCCATATAATTTATTGATCCTTCGAATAAGCTCATTCCTAAAGTTCATCATTTTACCATGCAGTAAGGTCTTGGAAGATTTTCTTTATCGGTATTAACATTGATTTGTTAATAGTTTTAATAGTTTAATTGATTGATTAATTGAATGATAGGTGTTTAACGCCACTTTCAGAACTATTGTGCTATTTCGTAGCAGTCAGTTTTATTGGTGGAGGAATCTAGAGTGCCCAGAGAGAACCATCGACCTTCGGTAGGAAAACTGAAAATCCTAGTAATATAGTCGTTCAACTACTGAGACCACTCGGCCACCGAGGCTCCCTAATAGTTTAATACATAACGAATCCAGGTTTAACTTATGAAAAAATAATTACGAAAGTAAGGTTTCAAGTCAGTCCAGCAAAATTGACCTTAGGTGTCTTTTGCAATTTTGTTTAGATCCTATATATAGCTATTTGGTCATATAGCTCTTCCGGTATTCAACTAATCATACATCCTTGGCTTTAAAACATTGGGTTTGAGCGTTCCTAATAAAGATAAATCAAGAACTGAGCTTCGCACGCACCAAATATATCAAGTGTTATTTATATTTTCTAGCACTGGATATATACCGCCGCTGTTGTACTTCTAGTCCGCGAGGGTACCATTGACTCAACAGTCAGCGATTCAATACTGACATGAATTATAACATTACTTTCTTAAATACTCCGTTGTTTAATTAAGATTTTTTAGAAACTCAAATTTCAATTCCATCTGGCAAATTTAACCTTAGCTGGATTTGCCTTGTCTTTATGGTTCTATTTGATCATATGGTTCTTCAAGTATTCAAGTATTTATACATCCTTGCCTTTCAAAGTGTTGAGTTTGAGCGCTCCTAATGAAGATTTATACAGACAAGACAAGCGATTCAGACGCACCGAATTCAAAAAGTGTTAATTTTATTTTATTTAAAAGGATTTAATATCGATGAAATATTTTAAAAAGTCTATGACAAATTAACATAAATCAGGTCTTCAACTGTAGTATAGACAAGTACCTATTTTTGAAGACCATCTGCTTAGCCTAATAGGCATTTTTCATGCTTGTGAAAGAGTGTTGCATTGATGTCTTAAAGCCAAGTGCAGATCATACTACATACGTCGTACGCAGTAGACAAGTACCGGTATAATAGATATAGTTAATAATGTCTGGAGAATGATGCGGTTCGATGATCGTGAACGCATATATGTTATCGTAAACACACTTTTTTATTTGGGCACACATTTATCTGCAAAACAATTTCTTTCTACAGTGTATTTTTGGCATAAAATATGTGTCTGGGTAAGTCTTTCAAATCTTACCTCCAGAATACATAGTAAATGATAAGGGTGAGAAAACATCCTAATATTGATAGTCCACAACCAACAAATGTGATAATTTCTAAAGCTTTCTCGTGTTGATCTGACTGAAATATAGATTCATGTTTTTTTCATTGAAAGCAAATGTCAAAATTATACCAGTCGTCTTAAGAAACGCAAGACAAAAATGTAAGGCTACATCTTAAGTGTCGTCAGCAACGATTATATGTTCGGAAACCTGAATAATGAGGTACACGCAATAATTAGCTTCACAACTTATCAATGATACCAGGCTGACAATTCAGTACGCTAAACGCGCGTTTCATCTACTAATCAGTGGTGTTAAAATCAAAACAGTTGAAAGGCCAACTCAATAACGAAGTTGAAAAACAAAAGTTCAAAAAGACGTGCCAAAATCTGTCTAAAGCTATCTATGTCTAGAGGTATAATTCTTTTAGTGATAATGCATATCGGATGTTGCATGCAATTTATAACGTGTTGTTTTCGTTTCTTTACGTTTAAATGTGCATACTAAATGAATATGTGGATTTTTGTAGTTGTCAATAGTTTTATTTTAAATATACTTAAATCTGGTATTTTATACATACATGTATATATAGTATATCAAACTTACAATTTCAACATCACTAGGGCTCATCAATATAGCAAAATTTGTTAAATGATTGCATGTGCAAGTAGAAACATTGGCTTCAGTCTCTTTTAAATAACATCCATTCTCAGCCCAACTTCTACCACTGAAAAATAGCCAAAATAGAAGTTTAGACATAATAAAAGTTCAGACCATTGTGAACAAAAAATCATGAAAATATGGAAAACAAAACAATTTCTCTGACATGCTTTAAAAAAAACCAATAAATCACAAACGGTTCGATTTAAAAAATACTCCAAAAACAAACATATTTTTTTTTTCCTTACAAGATGAAAATGTATTTCAGTTGAAATGAAAGAAGAATCTTCAAACAGAAAGGGACTTCCCGGACATTAGAAGATCGACAGCACGATACCGATCAACCAAATAGAGTTCAAATTGAAATAACGTTAAAATCATTCTATAATTCAGAAAACAAGAATATTGGAACGAAATTTTCATGCTCAATTGAAATAAAACGAAAATTATAGTGTCGTCAAATAGGAGTTGACTGTTTGGCAGATCTGAAAACTGCTTACACGGTTTAATTCACAAGCTTCATAGGTATTAAACGAAATGTCTAACTATGTCTTTAGACAGGAGCTGAGATAACCGTCATGAAAATAACGGTCCGTCAACGATATTGCAGTATATCACTACCGCCATGAGTAGACTATAACTAAAACATATACCTGAAGTTCCAATATCCACAAGATATCTTTGGATCTGTGTATTGTACCTGGAGTTTGGAACAATGATTATTTCAGTAACTATAAATTCATGTTAAAATGGCAGAATGTAAAAGGACAAATAAGAAACTATATTGAAATTAAAAACCAATTGTTCAGTGAACAATTGAAGGTCTTTCCACCCGAAATGATATATTTTGATGTGAAAAAATATTAAAACTCGGTTAGAAATGTAATTTTCAGTGCCAAATGATAGCTTATTATACGCTGAATTTAAAAATATATGGTTTCTATACATTTTTGTTTGAAATTAGGGAGATAATTTGTTACTTCCGGTTTGCAAAAGGTCACTTCCGGTATCATTTGATAGTTTACTTGACACTGATTCCAAAAATATATGGTTCTATGTACTTTTATATTAAATATGGACAAGAAATAGCTACTTCCGGTTTACAAAAGGTCATTTCCAGTTGATTTTTTCAAGGTCATATGGCTTGCAACTTAATGCACAAAGTACCATAGCTTTATCAGGCATACATGAAAAGTTAAAGCAAAGGTCAAAATCTAGAACGTCAAATCAATCTTTGACCTTGACCCTAATTTCAAGGTCATGAAACAAGGGCCTCAAATCAAAACCCTCTAGGTCTCTACTATATATTGTTAATGAGTTATATTACCATACAGCTAATATTAGATATAAAAGGGGCGAAAACTCCCATTAAATGTCTCCGTTCCCTTTCAACTCAAATTTACGTGTTACGATATGTCGCAACTAACAATTCTGTAAAAAAATTTGTCGATATCTTATTAGATTTCTGAAAATTAGTGATAACAAGCCAAAATCAAAATTTTTAACATGACCTTGACCTTTGACCTTGACCTCATTTTCATTTCTATGGACCAAGGACCTCAAATCAAAAGACCCTAGGCCTCTATCACTTATGGTTTTCCAGTGACAAATACATTTCACATATATCAAATACAAAAGGGGAAATAACTCTCATATGGAGTCTTCGTAAAGCTTCGGTCTAAATAAAACCTAACATCCTGAGGATATAACGAGCAATTTGGAAAAATAAATTTGTCGCTTTCTTTTACGGTTGCGGAGGAGATCTCATAACAAGAAAAACAGTGTTTGGGGAGATAACTATTACAAAGAATAGTGTTCGGTTAAACAGGGTCAGTTTTAAAAGCGTATAGACTGTATGATATCATATACCAAAAAACTAAGCGACATCTTTTGAAACAAAAATACACCGCAAAAAAAAATTAGGCGGAAGAAAAAAAAAATAATCAGAAGAAAACCAATAGGTCTTTCCACGGAAAGGTGGAAAGACCTAATAACATTTGGTCTTATATCTGGATCTATTACATAAAGTATTTTCATATATTCCAGCATGCGTCGACACATTTCCATCATATTCTACTTCTTAAAAAAGTAGTTAGAAGAGATATCTATGTAAATTAGAGGCAACAGTAGTTTACCATGTTTACTGATGTTCATATCTCATAAATCCATTTAGAAGATACAAACAAAGGTAAAAAATCTAAAACTTAACGATTCGAAAAGCTAGGACCGGGTGCATCGTTAGGGTTATCGTTTCCTGCTATGCAAGACATTGCATAAATCAAATGTGCTTGCAAATTTATATCAACTATAAGCTTTCCATGCGTACAAACATTAATAAAGAATATTTCAATTAAGGCTCACTATTGTCCTTTGTTGCTGTTGGTGGGCTTTAAGGATAGAGCGTATCATTCGCCCAGTGATCAGTGCTTTATGAACTGGCATGATTGGAATTGTGTATTCCGATTATACATTATTTTACCTTAAAGACGTGTATTACACCAATAATAACTTCGCAACCTCCTTAGACGAAGTTGGCCTTATCCAATTGTGACAAGTTTTTTAAGGCCTTTGCTTTGTTAATATCTTAAGTAACTTTTAAAGTATTTATCTTCCCAAAAGTAAGGTCTTGTGTGTACTTTATGAAGGTGTTCAGTGAAACACGTAAAGTTCGCACATAAACCGGAATCATACGTTTATGTTGTTGTTCAAATAGTATTAACTTCCTTTCAAATTAATATGAATGATGTACAAAATGTTAATTATCAATTACAATCACTTAACTCTACAAAATCATTGTTCTATTTGAATATAGAATACTACTAAAAATAAAGTCAGTGTACAATTTACCTTTTTATTTTGCTCAAATCTGATTGTAATATTTTCTGTTAAAATGTGAATAGCTTGATCAAATGATACGGAAATCACGTCAGAACCAACTGATCTAAAATGAAAATATTGCCTTGTTTACGTAAGCTAAGGAATGAATTCGAACTTTCATCGGACAAACGAAAGAAAGACATTAATACTTTTAAAGAAGAGTGACATTATTCATACACTCATGTTCTAGTTTTATATACTCTACTTACGGAAACAAATCATCAGTACTATCTTTTGTTTTTTTGTCAAATAATCGTACGGTGCAATTGCTGTCAGAACAATATCAAAAGTCAAGGACGAACAATGTCTTACTTTTTAAGATGTCAACATTATTGCATACTAGTATTCTGTCTTCGGAATATTAAAATTGTGTATAGAAACATGACAATCTTTGTGCATAGAAATTAACAGTCAATAATCAAACGCGCTTTACATTTGATTATTTGTTTTATTAAACAGCGCTTTTTCGATGCAATTAAGAAAACAAGATGGAACAATATCAAACCAAAAGTCTACTAAACACAGATAACATCATGACCTAAAGCAAAAAGGCCAAAAGACAAATAAAGTACCACACATACCACACTGAAATGCAAACACGAAACCTACCTATATCTAGAAGTGATCCTAGGCGCTCAGTAAGCGTTATCAATCTTTCTCATTATTAATCATCCGTCATATGTAAATAAACAACTACCGTATAATGTGTTAACATCAAAACAACCTTTAGTGATTAAAAAACGCATGGCCAAACAATATCGATTCGAATTTTGAATGAGATTAAATTTCATACAAGTGAGCGCGAAGATAATATAGGGATATACAAACTCATAAGTCAATGACAAACTGAAAATGCCTTGGGAAAAAACAACGAAAAGACAATCACAAATCTACAAATACAATATACAAAGCAAAAGACCGATCAACACAAAAAAAAAAAAAAAAAAAAAAAACGGGGTTGATCTCAGATGCTCTGGAGGAGTAATCTGATGAATAACATGTCTTACACTTTAAAAAAATACAATAATCTTAAAGCAGTATGCTAGGTGGGTGCATCAAAGTCGTTAACTAAGATGTTTATTTGAAAAATGCCATTCGCCTATAAAAACAGTTATTCAAAACAAAATCGACAAAGTGAAGCGCAGTGTAAAATTGTGTTTTGGATACTTGCCATTTGACGGTATATATTAGAAATATATATCCATGTTGCAAATGAAATCTTTGTAATGTTCCTCTTTGTCCAAAATATACAAATCGTGTTGTAGTATGACTGTATGTGGTTAAATGAATGTATGTCGCTCTCCTAATGTTCAGCAAACCGTTTTTCACAATATACCCGTTATGTATGATTATTTAGTCTAACGATTGTTAGCTGTTTTATGAGAGAAACAAGTTTATGAAAACATATGTACAGCTAATTCTAAAGCAAAAGGACACTCTAATTCCTAAATTTGATCTAATAGACGAAAGTGATCAAATAGTTAATTATATATGAGGAAGGTCTTGTTAGTTAAAGATGACGAAGTACGTTTTATAAATCAAAATAAATGGCATTATTTAACTTGATGTAAAGTAGTAGTTTAAACTGTACCAAGTCAGGAATATGACAGTTGTTTTCCATTCGTTTGATGTGTTTGAGCTTTTGATACTGCCATTTGATAAGGGAAATTCCATTTTGAATTTTCCTTGGAGTTCGGTATTTTTGTTATTTTACTTTTTCATACCTATTGGGCGTTGTTGGAAGTATACCCGACAATGTCCTGTATAGGGCCGCTGTGTAAAGTGTATCTGAAAGAATATTAATATTATATATGTGTACAGTCTTCAGTCTTAAACTGATTGAAAATGTATCTATATTTAAGTTTCAAGACGTTGACCTTTCTAAGTTTAAAGTCTCGATCTTTTTTTGGGATTATTTTAAGTAGCAAAGTAATAAGAAGAAAGACAATGGAGGAAATACAAATACAAAATGGTTTCTGCCTCTTATTAAGAACACTTTATAAATTCAAAAGACATACGATAAAATAAATTCGACGAGCAAGGTGTTTTTTTTTTTTAATTTTTATTTAAAAAAATAGTTTTTTCTAGATAAACAATGTGTCGATGTATAGTAGTGCCGGATGAACATATATGAATTTGTCCCTGTCATGTTTTTTTAAGGGAATATTTGTTATACAAAGAAAGTTGTGGATATATCAATGCATTGCTCTTAACAAATTACTTATCAATCAGTAGATGTGTTCTCGTACATTTAAATATTCGCATAGTTTATGCATTTTACGCAAGCAGTGCAGTTGTAAAAAAAAAAACATTTCGTTTATTTAGATATACCTTGTAAAGATGGTTGATCTGCAAGAATCAATTTTGACATCGAATTTAAATCTGGTGGGAAAGTAAGGTCCTTCTTCAATGTTGAAACCTCTATGACTGAAAAAAAAAAAAAAATTCCATTCATTTCATGGATGCATATAATAGTTAATTGAATTCATTTTATAGAACAAAAACATCTTTTTACTTTGAATACCCACAACGTTAACATTTGGAGAACGAATACTTAATTCCTTTAATACATTATCATTACCTATTTAAACATCACCACAATTACATTTTCTAAATTAATCAGTACCGTTTCATGTTTATATAGTCCTCCTTTGAACCCTTTAATTCAACGTTATAGTTTAGAAATATGAAATCAGACCCAATAAAGTGACATTGAAAAGATCGACGTCGGAATAAAAAACATTCAGAAAAATTGTCTTTTCTTGGACCAAACTCTCGAAAGATCATATTCATGTACCTTTCATAATATTTGGCTTTGAGCGTTCTTGAGTGAGGTTAATCAATAAAAGTGCTTCGGACGCATACACTTTATAAAGTGTTATTTTCGTTTTTTATTATACAATTTAATCTTTCAAAGTAAAGGTTTTCTTAAATTTTACATCTCACTAATGTGTGTAACCGCTACGCATACAGCATCTTTTTTTTCCATTTATCAATTTATGTTTTGTTTCACAATTATAACCTATACCGTAAGACTAAGATCTTCTTTTAATCGTATCGTTCAGACTGTATACTGGAAAGTAAGCTTACCTAAATTTGTTTTGTTAATGACTTTGGTTTCATTAGGTGATAAATTATTTTGAACAAGACTACCAAGACTGTCTACTATTCGCATAATGCTTGATGCACCTTCGGCAGATTGTTCCTGTAATAGTTTAGTTTATACCATTATCAAGGACATATATAAAAATATAAATTATTCCAATTTGAATATGATATATAAATCAATCCAGCTAGATATTGAACCAAATTTAAATACTCAATGTAACTAATTCATTCCAAGCGAAAACTTTGCGCAGTGTCGGACAACACAGAAACTTCTCCCTTGGTTATTTACGTATAAAACGTTCTCAATATACAATTAAAACTATTTACATCTTGGTGTTGCCTAAGTTATTTCAGAGCATGCCTTCAATGCAGCTCTAAATCCTTCAGCTATATTGGCTTAGTATACTGATGTTCGCAGATGGTTTCAATCCCTGATCCCTGGTCCTTGGTAATAATGATCGACCATACGCTTAAACAGCAAGATATTCTGTTAACATTTACTAAAACCTGTCAGTGACGTTGTCTGCTACACCCCTTCAAACATCCACGATGTCCTGTCTTACGAATTCACATCAAATTGTTAATATAACACAAACAGCACGACACACGCATCGTCCACACACATGCAGAGCATGTCACACACGCACACGGATAAGACGCCTCACGCGAGGTATATAAATGAGAAAGGCAGACACGAGTACAATAGGACACTCGATGGACACTAAAACCGTACATATTATAAATATCAAAATTTTATCGATATAAAATTTAAAATGCTTTTTTTTTCAAAATGATTTAGTAAGAATTTCTTTTACAAACTGGGTGTTCAGATTTAAAGAAAACAAAATATATTTTAAATGGGAGTTTACGGATTGAAAGGGAAAAAGTGGCGTGTAGACAAATACATAAAAGAAATTGTTCATATTATACAAAGTTTACCTCCGAATTAACTTCATTCCAGCTACCGCTATTATCTGAATCCAACACCGAATTTAAAACATCCCCGAATTCCTAAAATGATATTTAATTTTTATCAAATTGATGCATTATTTTTTGTTAATTAATATGGGAGATATATACCACTGTTTTTTTATGTCGTATTTGTTTGCTAAATGAGCTTTTTAATTCCACATCATTTCGTTGCACGATTAGTATACCTGCTAATGTTATAACGATTCAATAATTGGTGTGATGGTCGAATCCCTCAAAACTTTGAATGAAACATTATGATAATATTACAAAAATAATTGCTCTTGCATTAATTGTTCAATATATCAATCTCCTTTCAGTAGAAAGTTTATGTGTGTAAGTAGCTGTAGAAAAAACTGAAATACGACATCATCATGATGAGATATATAAACCCCCCTCGCAAACGAACAAAACATCAAGAGTTATAAAACAAATGTTTTCAACAAATGGTATTTGTCCAAAGTCTTTGTTCCTTTTAGTAAAAAGACTGTTATTAAATATAGATAAAACTGAGTTTCTCATTTCAATATTTGTTATACGTAGATAACCCTATCCAAATAACTTTTGCTTGATACCTTTTGGTTATGATAAAATATGGAAAGTATACCTCGGAATCAACAGACGCATTTGTCGATGCCCCTATTCCAATGATAGAAGATAGTATATAAGTAGTCTGTTTTAAATCGCCAGATGTAGGAGGGTTTTGATTGTCGTCCCCAATAGTAGTATTTAAAGTATTCAGTATATATGATATAACGGCTGTTGCTTGCTCAGGATCAGTGATGTTTACAAGTCCATTCAGCTACAACATAAATATTGTTTACAAATATGCGTAAAACATAAACAAGAACTTAATTGTGATCTATAGTTGTTAACTTCTACGTCATTTAGTCTCTGGTGAAATGTTGTCTTATTGGTAATCATTCCAAATCTTCTTATTTTTATATCTATCCGTCAATGATTTAAGATAGCAACGCAGCGTTTTCTATTTGCTATATTAAACTGACGTGAAAATACAATTTAATTGTTTTTAAATTGTTACTACATGTTCAATTATCTGTTATATAAAATAAGATACATGCCTGACATACTCTAACATAGTGAGCAGGCCACTTTCCAAATATTTAATTCAGAAAAATAGATTTGTCAGACAATTGAAATAACAAAACGATTTTAAAATATAATAAATATAAAAACAATTGGATATAGAACATTCAGTGCAATTATAAGGCCCCAATTAACAAAATATAATAATTACTTTTTCTGTTGTTTCATAAAGTACCATATTAACACATTCTATATATACAGGATCTTCCCAAACACCGTTGACGTTGCATTTCCGAAAGGCAGTACCTATAAGTAAGCACACAGAATAGTATAAATCACAGAGCAGACTTTGCCAATAAATATAAAGTTTCTGGATCAATGAAACATCTTTCAATTAACAAAGAATGCAATAAAATTGCATTATGAAATTCAAGTTTTACTACCGTAAATAAGAAATATATTTGTCTGTTGTGTGTAGGACTAAATTGTTTTATACAAAATCAATATAATTCCATGTTTTGTATATGCGTATGTCAAATAGAAAAAATACTCAAATAGCTTATTGTTATTATCATCATTCTTTAATTTTTTTACATTATTATTATCCCTTCTGTTATTAATTGTTTAACCGGTCAATGGATAGAAATGTGCATGGGAATTCGTTGAAGCAATCATACATAGAAAAAGGATTCATTATAAATATATAGTTTTACTCGATTTCTATTTTGGAAAAATCATTCGCCTCTGAATTAAAAAATGGCATTTCAGATATTGATAGTTTATAGAATCACACGTTGTGAGGACTGACAGTTATCGGTTGCATTTCGATAGGTTCAGAATATATATAGATATAAGAAGATGTGGTATGAGTGCCAATGAGACAACTCTCCATCCAAGTTACAATTTATAAAAGTAAACCATTATAGGACAAAGCACGGTCTTCAACACGGAGCCTTGGCTCACCACCGACCAGCAAGCTATAAAGGGCCCCAAAAATTACTAGTGTAAAACCATTCAAACGGGAAAAACCAACGGTCTAATCTATATAAAAACGAGAAACGAGAAACACTTATGAACCACATCAACAAACGACAACTACTGAACATCAGATTCCTTACTTAGGACAGGTGCAAACAATTGCAGCGGGTTTAAACGTTTTAATGGTACCAAACCTTCACCCTTATCTGAAACAATAGTGTAACGTCACAACATAGAAAGACACACTATAAAATATCAATTGAAATGGATTAACTCAATCAAAAGACTTATTAACACAAGTGAACATACACTGAACGAATAAATTTGATCTATGATACAATGTAAATACAAAATCAATAAAATAAGGGATGAATAATTAAAGTAACAGTATTACACCGCTGTGAAATGTTAAACAATTTCAGAAAAAACAACAACAACCTTAAACAAAAATCCGCCATTTACAATGATATTATACACAGGTAAATGAAAATCATTTTGTTGTTAGGTATACAGTTTAAAAGGAGAAAGGAAATATTTTTACAAAATAAATAATTTTGATGTTCATAGTACGAAGAAGTGAAAATTTATAGTAATACCAAACACTTATCAAAGCTGGTATATAGACCAGATATAACCCTGAATAAGTAAACATTAAATAACACAAAAAGCTTTACAAATAGTATAACAGGTCAAATTAACAAGAATGTTTGAACAAAATATGTTTGTTATGTTAATTACCTGCATATCCAGGCGGACATTTTTGTGTGTCTTTTTGTCCTGCTTATGTCTCTAACCATGTAATATTGTTAAATATATCTTCTGGACAATAGGCTACAAAAGACACATGTTAGATACATGACTTCTTTTATTAGTTGTAATTGGCTTTGAACTTCGAGTAATCTCAGATCTGTACTTTGTATATAGATATAGGAAGATGTGGTATGAGTGCCAATGAGACAACTCTCCATCCAAGTTACAATTTATAAAAGTAAACCATTATAGGTCAAGGTACGGCCTTCAACACGGAGCATTGGCTCACCACCGAACAGCAAGCTATAAAGGGCCCCAAAAAATTACTAGTGTAAAACCATTCAAACGGAAAAACCAACGGTCTAATCTATATAAAAACGAGAAACGAGAAACACGTATGAACTACATAAACAGACGACAACTACTGTAATCAGATTCCTGACTTAGGACAGGTGCAAACATTTGTAGCGGGATTTAAACGTTTTAATGGTACCAAACCTTCTCCCTTTTCTGAAACAATAGTATAACATCACAACATAGAAAAACACACTATAAAATATCAATTGGAAGGCTTAACTTAATCAAAAAACGTAAATTAACACACAATGAACGAATAAATTTGACCTGTGATCTTTTTTGTTGTGAGGGATGAAAAAATACCCTGCTACGTCCGGTCTGTGTTTTTGTTTCATGTTTTTTCTGCCTTGTATCGAACTGATGAGTTTAATTCTTTTTAACTGATTTTTATAGTTTGTTCTTATGTTGTACTGTTACATCACTGTCCCAGGTTAGGAAGAGGGTTTGGCGACCTAAAACATGTTTATGCTCACCAAATTCTTTATGTGCCTGTCCCAAGTCAGAATCCTGTAGTTTATTGGTTGTCGATGGTTCATGTCTATCATATTTGTTTTTCGTAAATTGTTTTGTTATAAGTTAGGTCGTTAGTTTTCTATATTGACATATTTTCTAAGTCGGAGACCTTTATAGCCGACTATACGGTATGGGTTTTTTGCATTGTTGAAGGTCGTACGGTTGCCTATAATTGTTTACATCAACTTCATTCGAACTTTTGTGGATAATAGTCTCATTGGCAATGATACCACATCTCTTTAATTTTAAAATGTCTCTGGACAGTACATTTATATTACTTTGTTGTGTTTATTGTATGGATGACATCAGGTGCTCTTAAGGGTATTAAGATCAAGGTTCAGTAGTTACCTGTGTCGTATTTATCATCGCATGTAAACATTGGTGATAGAAGTTACTTTAGGTGATGTCGCAATTGACGAAAAGATTACAGTATAATAGACAACAAAATTAGAACATATCTTTGGTCATCTGTGACGCAAATATTCCATTACAATTGACCAAATCATGATTTTGTCCGTAAAAGTGTTGACGAGTTTACTTGACATCACAATTATGAACCCTAGTTTCAAAAGTTTTCTTAGGAGAAGCAGCAACAGTCCTGCAAACACAAGAATGCCGTATGAAACGAGGGTATTAAAACTTGAATAGATAATTGTACAAAAAAATGGTAGGATAACAGGGATTACTAAAAATATTAGACAGTGCATACACCAAGACAACATCCGACTCCTCCGGAAAAAAACGCCCATATAAAACATATAAATAAAGATAAAACAAGTGAACAAAACAGGGTCCAGATAGCCTGACTTGGAACATATGCAAAATGTTGATGATTTAAATCAGTTTACGTGCCTACAACCTCTTCCTTTCCACGTATAAATATTATATAACTCGAAAGAAATACAGAACAAAAAAAATCCACAGTTTGGTAAAAAATGTACAAGAAAAAAAAAAAATACGTCGATTATTTATTTGAGGGGTCTGCATGTCATCTGTTTTAAGGCATAATTTTATAACACCAGTTTTAGTACTTTGAGCTTGCCTTCATTAAATCGGAGCATTCCTCAATACGGTTAATTATTAGAACCAAATTTAGAGTTGTATAAAAATAAGGAGTGTGATATGATTGCCAATGAGACAACTATCAATTAAATTTAAAATGAAGTGGATGTAAGCAATTAACCGTACGCGGTCTTTAACAATGAGAAAACCCAATACCGTATAGTCGGCTTTAAAGGCTCCGACATGAAAAATATGAAACAATTCAATTGAGAAAACTAACGGCCTAATTTATAACAAACAAACGTACGAAAAACAAATTTGACAGACATGAACTAACGAAAACCACTGAACTACAGGATCCTGACTTGGGACAGGCACATACAGCATGTGGCGGGGTTACACATGTTTAAAGGCGCCAACCCACCCCCAACCTGGGATAGTGATGTAACAGTACAACATAAGAACAAGCTATTAAAATGAGTTCAAAAGGGTTTAACTCATGCATCAGATAGATACCAAACAGAAAATATATTAAACAAAAACACAGATCGGACGTAGCAGGGTATTTATACATCCGTCACAACAAAAAATATACAACGTTCAGATCTGAGAGTACTCACAGTTATTGACAGCTAGTTCAAAGCCGATAACAACTAATAAAAAAGTCATGTATCTAAGATTAAAATATTTATCAGTACACATCTAACAGCCAATGGATTTAGTGTAAAGACGTCACTAACAGTCAGAGAAAAACATGACCTTATTGTGCAATTCCAGAATATAGGTATCGACAGATTGTAGTACTGTGAATGTGCATATGTGTATAACTATAATATTAAGTATGGTTTTAATTTACTGATAACAAAATCAATATTTATACCAATAAAAACAATATTCAAAGATCTAATTACAGTGTTGAATTGGTAGCCTGTTAGAATAAGTTTATCTAAAGGATTGATAAGTTTACCCAGATCGTATCTAAATTTATGGGCTTGGTAAACAACATCACCTTTAATCTTAGGATGTGCTATTCCGTTTGAAATAAGTTATCAAGATAACAGAAAGTCTTGTTGAATTTATCAATCAAATGGAATTTAGACGGGTTTTCACCGAGTTTGGCCATAAACTGTGATTCATAACAGTACAGGAACAAGTTTGTTAATAAAGGGGCACAATTGGTGTCCATATGAATACCTACAACCTGTTGATAAACTATATTGCCGAAACAAACATAAATGTTTTGAATGAGAAAATTTTTCAGCTTTAATCTTCTCATCACACATCCAGCAAGTATATCTAGCATATTTACCTTTCTCATTAGTTAAAGGGCTGTATGTGAGTTGCAGCAAATAAATTTGCATTCAGATTTTTCAACTGACCATTTAATTATATAGGAAAACGTTTGTTTGATAAGATTGTGTGTGAGTGTAGTATAAAGAGTGGAAAAGTCAAAACGATCAACCGAATCAAAAGGACCATCAAAAGCACGTGATTTATCTAAAACATCCAACGACTGTTTTACACTCCAAAAAAAGTTAATTCCACTATTTTCATTTGTTTTATTACAAAAGTTAATGATATGTTCTTTGATAGTAGTTAAGGAACATTAGTAGTAAAACACTTGCTAGAGGCCGAGATGAAACGATAGATTACGTTTTTTTTATAGTTTAGATAACCAATACATAGTCGGGACCTTCAAATGATCAGAGGAGGCCTTTAGCTGATCTGTGGTAGTGACATGAATATTTACTATTTGACTCTCTGTGAAGTGCACGGCCTTCAATGTTGTTGCATGCATAATATCATTCTTAAGAACTTGTAGTTGTGTTTACATTTATTTTACCGATTTGGATGTAAGGGTTATTCCAGTACTAATTCCTCCTCAACGTCTAATTCCACTATTCTGGTTTTAAGAGGAGTTTAATTTATTCACATATTTTTTTAATTAAAGACTATACATGTCTTTTTGTTATAATATTCCTTGAATTGCTTTCTCATTGATATATTATATACATTGTCTTTTATTAAGATTGAAATTACTTCAACATTGTTTAAACAATCTGTTTATATTATATACGTTTTAAAAAAAATAGCAATAGTAGTAAAAGATGGAAAAACAAGTCTCAAATCTTATATACTCATTAGAAAGATAAGGTAAATAACCAATAACAGAGGGAGTCACATAAACTCCAAAAGAAGAGAGACAAGATGTGTCGACAAGTTAAGCGCCGCCTGCTATGCATACATATTTGAAAGTCCATTGTTTCCATTATGTTCATTGTTTTGTTTCATTCTACTTTCGAAGTTGTCAGAAATCATTGAGTAAACAAGTTACTTACCTGTTACTATTCTTGTAGACATTGTGATCTCCAGAGGTGATGTCGTTGTCAGTTGTTCTGTAGTTTCAGTGTCGAGTTTGTAAGTTGTTGTAACATCGAGAGAAGTAGTTTTAGCTGACGTGGTTGTCTTCTGAGTTGATGACGTTGTTGTTTCATCGGGAGAAGTAGTTATAGCTGATGTGGTTGTCTCCTGAGTTGATGCCGTTGTTGTTTCATCGGGAGAAGTAGTTATAGCTGATGTGGTTGTCTCCTGAGTTGATGCCGTTGTTGTTTCACCGGGAGAAGTAGTTATAGCTGATAAGGTTGTCTCCTGAGTTGATGCTGTCGTTGTTTCATCGGGAGAAGTAGTTATAGCTGATGTGGAAGTCTCCTGAGTTGATGCTGTCGTTGTTTCACCGGGAGAAGTAGTTATAGCTGATGTGGTTGTCTCCTCAGTTGATGCTGTCGTTGTTTCATCGGGAGAGGTAGTTATAGCTGATGTGGTTGTCTCCTGAGTTGATGCCGTTGTTATTTCATCGAGAGAAGTAGTAACATCTAATGTTGTTGTCTCTACAGTTGATGCCGTTGTCGTTTCATCAAGAGAAGTAGTTAAAGTTGATGTGGTTGTTTCCTCAGTTGATGCCGTTGTTGTTTCATCGGGAGAAGTAGTTATAGCTGATGTAGTTGTCTTCTGAGTTGATGCCGTTGTTGTTTCACCGGGAGAAGTAGTTATAGCTGATAAGGTTGTCTCCTCAGTTGATGCTGTCGTTGTGTCATCGGGAGAAGTAGTTATAGCTGATGTGGTTGTCTCCTCAGTTGATGCTGTCGTTGTGTCATCGGGAGAAGTAGTTATAGCTGATGTGGTTGTCTCCTGAGTTGATGCCGTTGTTGTTTCATCGGGAGAAGTAGTTAAAGCTGATGTGGTTGTCTCCAAAGATGATACCGTTGTTGTTTCGTCGGGAGAAGTTGTGTCATCAGCTGCAGTTGTTGGTTCCATCGTAAAAAAAATGACAGATGTTATAGTTGTTGTCGTTGCAGCAGATCCAGGAAGAACTAGAAAATATATACACAAAGTAAAATAATACCAAATTTATAATAGGATATATTGATAAATCATTGAAATTTTGATAACATTTCTTAAAATAGTTTAATATAGCTTACAGTTTTAAAAATAGGACTATTACATATTTTGCGTGTGTGAAGAACTCCCTCTTCCACCAGTTAGTTAACCGATTGAAATTTGCTGCAAGAGAAAATTACTTCTTTCGTGTTAAATAAATGTGTAATTTAGGTAACTGCGATAATAAATAATATTGCTATTTCAGAATGCCAGTTTAAAAAAATAACGAAATATTCTTTTACAAATGTTGTCTATGCCTTTTACTGCTGTATATGTAGCTATTTTTCAATTTGTATTCGATTTCTTTATTTATATATCTAAAGTTATTATAATGCTGCCGTATAGTCTATTACAATATATACCTGTTGCTGTAATTATATTCACAATCATATATGTACAAGACAATGTAAGAACTGTGAACATATTCTGAGGCAAATACATCTGCAAGAAAATTTCAGAGCGTTCAATTAAAAATGTTGTTTCAAATGTTCTGATAATGGATTTTGTTTTATTAATTTGACAAATGCATACAATAAACAAAATACATATTCTGCACTTGCTGCGTTAGAAGCGATTTTCTATATAAAATTCAACACCCAAAGCCATCACTTCGAAAGGCGATGACGCATAGTTTCATGGAAATCACACAATGCCATTCGACAGTCAATACCATGCAAGCCAAAAAGACAAACAGTCGTAAAACACAAAATAAAAATAACAAAGACTTAGCAAAAACAGCACAACAAACCATGGATAAGAGAAAAAAAAAACGGTGCCCTGAAGTATTGTCGAATTATTTGAAGTTTATCAAAAGCACCCATACCGAATTTTCTGATTACTAAATATTCACTTAAGTCTTTAACTTTTGAAAAAGCACATAATTTAAATATTTAAACAACCGTACAAAATTATTGGTAACTTTAACAATTTGTACGGGAACGGTGCAGCGAAAAACCATTTGTTCCATCACACCAAAGGTTTTCAATAAGGTTCATTTACAAACTCGTCATTTGTATTCCTGTTTTTATCAGGTATGCAATCAAAACTTATGAGTCGAAAAGCACAATATTAATGTGTTAAATCAAAGTAAAAGTCCACGAAACACATTATGGGCAATTATAGATAAAGCAAAACGAAAATAAGAACCCCCATCCCTAAAACTAAACGAAAAAACCTCAAAAAACTCTCTGATCCTGATAATTATAAAACTTTCACCAATAATAAGAATACATTATTTATTATAATCACTGTGGTTTTATATCCGCAAAAAAAATATATCTTGATGATAAAATAAAGATAAGGCAACCAAGCGACTAGAAAGTTTTATCTAAGGTTACAAACTAGGGTCTTCAACATTTCAAATCTATATCAACTATCCATCACTCCTGGTATAATACGACAAATAAATCGAAAGAAAATTACCAGTGACTTACATGCAGGTTAAATTACTTCTCTTCAACGTTAACATAATGTACCATATGAAACACTATTTTGTCCAGATGTCAAAAGTTCGTAACATGCATTTTTTGGAAGTCAACTGTCAATGAGAAACGTTTACAAAATATTTCGAAAATGAAACAAAATGACTTATTCTGGCTCTTTAATCATAAACTGATTGAAGAAACGTATAAACCTTATAAAACAATATACACTTATTAAAATTCATACGTTTATCAAGACTTCCATTTCGTGTATAAACAAAACAATTTAAAAAGTAACCCATAAAATGGCTATATTTCTCATTAATCAGAATATTTAAGGAGATACATTTCTGTATAGTTGTAACAATAGAAGTATTTTTGATCTATTCAACGACAGGAACAAGTTCTACAATCTCACACATTAAAGTTACAGGTACAGTGATATTCTTGGAGTCCAATTAATCAAAACGGAAACCAGATAGTTACATTTATATAACCATGAAAGCAAATAGTTCTTTGTATATATACCACAGACCAGATATAATTATGAAGAATCATATTGTCTTTCGATCCGTCCGTCCTTTGTTCGTCAATTTGTTCATCTATCTCTTATATCAAATTATTTCACCACTCCGTCTACATTCGACAGAGATTCGAATAAAAAGTTAAGTCTACAAATTAAGTGCGTTTTATAAAGATACCCATGAAGGCCTTTTTCAGTATAGATTAATTAAGAAGGGTAAAATAGTCTTTCATTGTTTTTATGGTAGATGGAACATGCCGATTTCACTCGACAGGTATGTTTTACTCTTCTAAGATATTTTGGGAAACATAACATTTCAAAACAAAACATTTTCCTCATTTACCTTCCACGAGGAATGCATATTGATAATACTAGAAGTATTGGAGCAGGTGAAAAATGATGTCGCTTCAAGGGTAAATGTCCTGTTTAAATGACATTTATCAGTATTGTTAGTATAGTTTTAATAAAATATTTCTAAGAGAAAGAGAAAAACGTCCTGTTAAGAAGAAATTACTTATAACAAAATTTTTGACCTTCCTTCCTTTTGTAGATTTTCAATCCACTTGTCGAGAGAAATTTGTTCAACAACAGACGTGAAACTAACCCTGAAACTCTATTTTTGTTTTATTAAATTTCAAATAAAACAATTTTCTTGTCTCCATAGTAAAAATTCCAGATATTTGATTTTTAAGTTTTACGTATACTTATTTTCGTTTACATATATCAATAAATCGTTACGCTCGTGCATTTTCACTCTGAACGAACTTCATTAGCAGGAATAAGCTTCTTACATAAAAACTACTCAAACAGAGTTATCATGCCAAAATCGACACTAAATAGGTTAAACGGTCCTCATCATGAATTGGTTGCCTGATACGATATCTCTTTGTCATAATTCAGTAGAGACATGTTTGTTTTACACTTCGCAAGGTAATTAATCTTTTTACGTTAATGGGTTTACATTTTTCATAAATATAAGAATGTCATTTGAAAAAGCTTTCTTTGACATGGATATGTGAAAGAAAAAGAGCAAGGGTTTTGTCATTCAAGGAACTTTCCGATTCTGAATTGCTCACCACCAACGAGAAATCTTACGCATTTGATCCAGGAAAGTACCCAAAACAAAAACGATTACAAAAATTTGAATGAAACGGCATACTTTTAGACATTAATACAAGAGCAGACCACCTTTATTCTCAATCGTATCGACACAATCGTAATAAAATCTCGGAATCACAGATTCAAGATCAAAATATTGTGAGAGCTCTACAAACACTGTAGTCAATTTGTTTTCAGTTAGTTTGTCGGAGACAGAGACAAAATTCTTATCAAAAGGTCTTAATTTCTGTCACACGCCGGGTAAAATTGATAGTTTAAAATGTGAAGATGGCCTTGACAAATTAGCTAGATCGCTTAGAATTAAGGAATACTTTTCTAATGGCCATTGTTATTTTATAGTTCGTTTCTGTGTGTGTTACATTTTAATGTTGTGTTTCTGTTGTGTCGTAGTACTTATATTTGATGTGTTTCCCTAAGTTTTAGTTTGTAACCCGGATTTGTTTTTTTTCTCAACCGATTTATGAATTTCGAACAGCGGTAAACTACTGTTGCCTTTATCTAACAGAGATAATATAAAAAATCAGGAGAACATTAGTGGTCTGGACTCAGATGAAGAGAAGAAGATGTCGAAATTCCAAAATTCAGGAAAAAATGTTCATGTATTCCTCAACCCAGTAAGTGTGCCATTTAATTACACATTATTGGCAAAATGAAATCCGACGTAACACATCTGTTCAAATCCACTTCCCAAACATTCAACAATTTACCGTCTGAAGAAAGTAAATCTGTGCAGTTGCTTAAATTTAAATAAATTTAAATAACAGAGACGACATAATAATAAATTCAGAAGATAAAGGTTGTGCAGTTGTCGTCATGGACAAATGTGATTATATTCAAGAGGCAGAATGTCAACTTTCTGATTAAAGATTTTATAAGAAATTAGACTCTGACCAAACTCTTAAATTCAACAAAAAAGTCACCACAGACTTGAAAAATATTTCTCAACAGGGTTATATAGATGAAGACACATTGGATTACCTAAAACCGGAAAAATCAAGCCGGGACGTTTCTATCTTCTGCTCAAAACACTCATAGTCAATAATCAAGGTAGACCAATAGTTCAGCCAATGTCTACCCTACAGATACAAATATCAGAACTTATTGACTTTCATTTAAGACCACACGTAGAAAATATATCATCCTACATACAAGATACAACACAATATTTTACGAACATGGAATCTTTCAACTCTTTCCCACCTGAAAGAATCATTGTCTCGCTTTACGTCATCCCTGTCTATACTAACATCCCATATGAAAATGTTATTTATTGATTGATTGGTGTTTAACGCCACTTTCAGCACTATTGTGCTATTTTAGGGCGGTCAGTTTTTGTTGGTGAAGGAAGTCGGAGTGCACAAAGATGATATTGAAGCCATTAGGTAAGTCTGGAACTCTCGCAGCACCTTAAACTCACCGACTGAATGTTAAGTCCAGCTTTT